TATGGAGTTGTCCCTAACCCATGGCTGTTATTATGGAGTTGTCCCCAACCCATGGCCGTTATTATGGAGTTGTCCCCAACCCATGGCCATAATTATGGAGTTGTCCCCAACCCATGGCCGTTATTATGGAGTTGTCCCTAACCCATGGCCGTTATTATGGAGTTGTCCCCAACCCATGGCCGTTATTATGGAGTTGTCCCTAACCCATGGCCGTTATTATGGAGTTGCCCCCAACTCATGGCCGTTATTATGGAGTTGTCCCCAACCCATGGCTATTATTATGGAGTTGTCCCTAACCCATGGCTGTTATTATGGAGTTTGCCCAACCCATGGCTGTTATTATGGAGTTGTGCCCAACCCATGGCTGTTATTATGGAGTTGTGCCCAACCCATGGCTGTTATTATGGAGTTGTGCCCAACCCATGGCTGTTATTATGGAGTTGTGCCCAACCCATGGCTGTTATTATGGAGTTGTCCCAACCCATGGCCGTTATTATGGAGTTGTCCCTAACCCCCTAACCCATGGCTGTTATTATGGAGTTGTGCCCAACCCATGGCTGTTATTATGGAGTTGTCCCCAACCCATGGCTGTTATTATGGAGTTGTCCCTAACCCATGGCTGTTATTATGGAGTTGTGCCCAACCCATGGCTGTTATTATGGCTGTTATTATGGAGTTGTCCCCAACCCATGGCTGTTATTATGGAGTTGTCCCTAACCCATGGCTGTTATTATGGAGTTGTGCCCAACCCATGGCTGTTATTATGGAGTTGTGCCCAACCCATGGCTGTTATTATGGAGTTGTCCCCAACCCATGGCTGTTATTATGGAGTTGTGCCCAACCCATGGCTGTTATTATGGAGTTGTCCCTAACCCATGGCCATTATTACGGAGTTGTCCCCAACCCATGGCCGTTATTATGGAGTTGTCCCTAACCCATGGCCGTTATTATGGAGTTGTCCCCAATCCATGGCCATTATTATGGAGTTGTCCCCAATCCATGGCCATGTTATTATGGAGTTGTCCCCAATCCATGGCCATTATTATGGAGTTGTCCCCAATCCCATGGCCGTTATTATGGAGTTGCCCCCAACTCATGGCTGTTATTATGGAGTTGTGCCCAACCCATGGCTGTTATTATGGAGTTGTCCCCAACCCATGACTGTTATTATGGAGTTGTCCCCAACCCATGGCTGTTATTATGGAGTTGTCCCCCATGGTGTTAACCCATGGCTGTTATTATGGAGTTGTCCCTAACCCATGGCTGTTATTATGGAGTTGTCCCCAACCCATGGCTGTTATTATGGAGTTGCCCCCAACTCATGGCTGTTATTATGGAGTTGTGCCCAACCCATGGCTGTTATTATGGAGTTGTCCCCAACCCATGGCTGTTATTATGGAGTTGTGCCCAACCCATGGCTGTTATTATGGAGTTGTCCCCAACCCATGGCCATTATTATGGAGTTGTCCCCAACCCATGGCTGTTATTATGGAGTTGTCCCTAACCCATGGCTGTTATTATGGAGTTGTGCCCAACCCATGGCTGTTATTATGGAGTTGTCCCCAACCCATGGCTGTTATTATGGAGTTGTCCCCAACCCATGGCTGTTATTATGGAGTTGTCCCCAACCCATGGCTGTTATTATGGAGTTGTCCCCAACCCATGGCTGTTATTATGGAGTTGTCCCCAACCCATGTCCATTAACATAGATTTGTTGTTAACCTACAGCTATTAATAGAGATCCCCCCTCTACAACATCCTCCACTCTTCTGGGAAGGCTTTCCATAAGAATTTGGAGGGTATATGTGGGAATTTGTGCCCACTTGTGAGGTCAGTTACTGACGTTGGATGAGAAGGCCTGGCTCACCATTGGCGTTTCAGTTCATCCCAAATGTGTTCAGTAGAGCTGAGGTCAGGGCTCAAAGCCTTTTAGATATGTCATTCAAAAACCATGGTCTCCTAAGGCTTCCCACAAGATTTCTCAGTTCACCTCAAAGGCGTTCAGTAGGGTTGAGGTCAGGGCTCTGTATAGGACACTTGAGTTTCTCCACACCAAACTGGTCATCCATGTCTTTATGGAGCTGGCTTTGTACACCGGGGACAGTCATAGTGGAACAGAAAAGGGTCTTCACCAAACTGTTACCATAGGGCTGGAAGAACACGATTGTCTACAATGTTTTTGTATGATTATTACCAGGACCCTTCACTGGAGACACCTGACCGCCATCATTTGGAGGGGTCCACATACATCTGGTCATAAAGATAGGTGTGATAGTCAAGGATCCACATACCACTGGCTACATAGTGAATGGTTCAGTTGCCACAAGTCACTTCTAAGCTACTGAAATTTGTTTCAGGTTTGTGCTGCCTGTACTGCCTGAATAAATAAAGACCAATGAGATCTAAGGGTTGCCACACAGAGCCTAATCTTGCCATTGATGGGTCACTTGAATGGTGGTCGGGCCATAAACGGCCTTTAAAAATGTAAATATACAGCATGGATGAAGAAATCTCCCCTGCCAGCTATTGTATTGGCCGGTACCCACAACTGTCAAAATACCGGAACATTGACTGTATCTGATTGGATGAAGTCACTGTTTGGCAACCATTTTCCACCCAGCTCCTTTAACAAAAGTCAACTAAAAAATTGACTTTGTCGACAGGTTTGCCCAAATAGCTGGAATTTCAGAGGTTTCAGCAGGAATTGGCCGAAGTTTGAGCCGTCATAGCATGGTGGTGGCCATTCCATGGATTCACCATCCAGATCTATAGGCCCGTTCCTACCTCCAGCTTCTGCTTGGAGTCCTCCCCCAGTAGATCCCGGATCTCCTCGTTGTAGATCTCCAGGTACGAGGCTCGCACTAAAAACTTGGTGTTCTCGGCACACTGCGGGATCGAGGAAAGTAGGAAATGTGAGATCCAGGAAAAGGGGAAAGGCACAAAGATGTAGAACATGAGTCCTTCACTCACCTGAATGCTCTCAAAGATATGTTCAAACGACCGGGGAATGATCCCCCTCTGCGATGGCGGGTCTGGGATGCCCTGCATGCTGAAGGATTTCCCGCTGCCTGTCTGTCCATAGGCAAAGATGGTGCCATTGTACCCTTCTGTGACTCCCTGAGGAAGAGAGGACACAGGCCGGTCATAAATAAAGGAAGACGTACATTGACCACTCCATTATACTGCAAGTGTCCACCCTTCAAGTGATACTAAACACACACCGTTTAATTTACAGGATCCCTTCTCTTTCTGTATGGGGGTGATGGCTCTGTAATTATTTTAATTAAAAAAAGTACCTTTTTCCTAATTGATATACAGCTGTCACATGACCCAGCTCTTTCCCAGCCTGTCATGGAGTGGGCGGCTTTCTGCCAGTCACAGCCTGTGTCTTAGAATAACAGCGAGGTGAAGTCTCCATCAATCAAGATGTAATATACCGCCCCCATTGTGTTTGGCTGGTTAGTGGGCATGGAGAAGGAGGGAGGGAGTGGGCTGTCATTTACCACTGTGTAAACGCCCACATGTGATTCTATAGTCACATGACCTGCTGAGATGTGATAGGGAGGAAACGCTCAATATAGAAACTTACTGAAAACTGAGCATGTGCGGTAGCTGCCAACACTGCTCTGCAAAATTCCCAACTGCATTGGGGACATGAACAGAAGGGGAGATGGAGACTAGCAGCAGATCAACCAGGTTTTTTGCAAAAAACAAAAAACGGATCCCATAGTGGCGGAGTATGAACAGCACAGAATACAGCATTTACTGGTCGATTTTTATGATGCGGGTTTAATGACACTGTAATGATCAGAGTCCGAACAGAACAGTGTCTGTGTTGTCCACGGCAACCTCTATTTTAAAGTGTTACTAAACCCACATCAGTAATATCAGTCTGTAGATGCAGTAAAGCGTGCGTGTTATACCCACTGTGCAACCTGAGGGGTTAATCCTCCGCATTGTATAAAAAGGCTGTTTGATCCTGTCTTCTCTGATCCTCCTCTTCTTTCTACTGTCCCCAATCCATCTGCTGATAGAACAGAGCCTTGAGGGCAAGCTGCACATGCTCAGTTTAGTGTGTATTGCTAGAAAGGTTTTTTTTTTTTTTGTTTTGTTTTTTTTCTTGCATGTGATCAGCATAGGGCCCATTAGCACTGTCCAGACAGAGGGTCAGGGGTTATGCAGCCTCAAAGGACAATCAAGGGGGAGAATGAAAAATCCTCCCACAAGCTTTAACCAGTGCTCAGCTGGATACTGATAGAAGTCACAAGACTGCTGTATACTGCTGATGAGAAAAGATATTTAGCAGTTTATATTTACTAAAATAATTGCATTTCCATGTTCTGTGTACTGTGGGAGAGCGGATATAGTGAATGCGGGGTCCGGGAGAGAGGATACGGTGAATGCGGGGTCCGGGGAGAGCGGATACGGTGAATGCGGGGTCTGGGGAGAGCGGATACGGTGAATGCGGGGTCCGGATATAGTGAATGCGCGGGGGATACGGTGAATGCGGGGTCCGGGGAGAGCGGATACGGTGAATGCGGGGTCCGGGGAGAGCGGATACGGTGAATGCGGGGTCCGGGGGGAGCGGATACGGTGAATGCGGGGTCCGGGGAGAGCGGATCCTACGGTGAATGCGGGGGATATAGTCCGGGGAGAGCGGATACGGAATGTGGCGGGGTCCGGGAGAGAGGGATACGGATACTGTGAATGCGGGGTCCGGGGAGAGAGGATACGGTGGGGGTCCGGGGAGCGGATATAGTGAATGCGGATACGGGTCCGTGGGAGGGAATACGGTATAGGCGGGGTCCGGGGGTCCGGGGGGGCGGATACGGTGAATGCGGGGTCCGGGGAGGGCGGATACGGTGTGAATGCGGGGTCCGGGGAGGGCGGATAATGCGGGGTCCGGGGAGGGCGGATACGGTGAATGCGGGGTCCGGGGAGGGCGGATACGGTGAATGCGGGGTCCGGGGAGGGCGGATACGGTGAATGCGGGGTCCGGGGAGGGCGGATACGGTGAATGCGGGGTCCGGGGAGAGAGCGATACGGTGAATGCGGGGTCCGGGGAGAGCGGATACGGTGAATGCGGGGTCCGGGGAGAGCGGATACGGTGAATGCGGGGTCCGGGGATAGAGCGGATACGGTGAATGCGGGGTCCGGGAATGAGAGCGGATATACGGTGAATGCGGGGTCCGGGGAGAGGGGATACAGTGAATGCGGGGTCCGGGGAGAGCGGATACAGTGAATGCGGGGTCCGGGAGGGTGAATGCGGGGTCCGGGGAGAGGGATACAGTGAATGCGGGGTCCGGGGAGGGCGGATATACTGAATGCGGGGTCCGGGGAGAGCGGATAGAGTGAATGCGGGGTCCGGGGAGAGCGGATATAGTGAATGCGGGGTCCGGGGAGGGCGGATATACTGAATGCGGGGTCCGGGGAGAGAATGCGGATATACTGAATGCGGGGTCCGGGGAGAGCGGATATACTGAATGTGGGGTCCGGGGAGGGCGGATATACTGAATGCGGGGTCCGGGGAGAGCGGATATACTGAATGCGGGGTCCGGGGAGAGCGGGATATACTGAATGTGGGGTCCGGGGGGAGCGGATACAAATATGGGAACTGTTTAAAGTGACAGAAGATTTGTGACTGTCCAGCCACTCCTGCCAGAAAGCAGATCCAGGTCTTCAATCTCCACCAGCAATACAGACTGGCTCAGAATAACCCCCGCCTGCTGATTAGACCATGAAGGAGGTTATTTCCGTCTGGATTCAGTTGTGACTTTCGGACACGCACTACACGCAATGCGCACAGCTCAGCAGACTGTGGAGACTTTCCCCGTCACTCCGTGCCGTCTGTCTGCTGCAGCCGCTGTAACACTTTAATGCCGATAACACAATGCAGACCATCGCTGTGCACACGGCTCACCGCGCCCCGATGCAGCGGCCAGCTTCGGGATCACTCCGCACACGCACGCTTTTCACTGATGTCAAAAGTTCACCAACCAAACAGAGTCAGGATCCCCAGACAAGCTGTGGAGGGACTCTACCCTGCTCAACTACCCCCCCTTCCTGGGGGGTTGGCTTCATGGCCAACTATCCCCATGGCTGCCCTGCTACTAAGTACTCCCCTGTGGCCTCCTGGCCAACTAAACCCCCCCCCCCCCCTCCGTGGCTGCCCTGCTACTAAGTACTCCCTTGTGGCTTCCTAGCCAACTACTCCCGTGGCTGCCCTGCTACAAAGTACTCCCCTGTGGCCTCCAGGTCAACTAAACCCCCCCCCCCCCCCCTGTGGCTGCTCTGCTACTAAGTACACCCCTGTGGCCTCCAGGCCAACTAAACCCCCCCCCCTCCCCCGTGGCTGCCCTGCTACTAAGTACTCCCTTGTGGCTTCCTAGCCAACTACTCCCGTGGCTGCCCTGCTACAAAGTACTCCCCTGTGGCCTCCAGGTCAACTAAACCCCCCCCCCCCCCCCGTGGCTGCTCTGCTACTAAGTACACCCTGTGGCCTCCAGGCCAACTAAACCCCCCCGTGGCTGTCCTGCTAATAATAACACCCTTGTGGCTTCCTAGCCAACTACCCCCATGGCTGCCCTGCTATAAAGTACACCCCTGTGGCCTCCAGGCCTCCCCCCCCCCCCCATGGCCAACTACCCCCCCCCTGGCAAACTGTGGCTGCCTTGCTACTAAGTGCACCCCTGTGGCCTCCTGGCAAACTACCCCCCCTGTGGCTGCCTTGCTACTAAGTGCACCCCTGTGGCCTCCTGGCCAACTCCCCCCCCCCCCCCCGTGGCTGCCCTGCTACGAAGTACACCCCAGTGGGTGCCGATAAATTCTGAAGAAGGTTTTCTGTGCTGCAATTTGGCATTGAGGTAACCCGGCTAATGTACGGTGAGCCCTGACCCCGGAATTCCTGGTGGTAGTTTAGTTTTTTGGGTAGTCAGGCTAAGGGGGTAATGTTAGGAAAATATTAACTGTTAAAGGTCCACTTCAGTTCCAAATTAAGGGGCGTTAGGGGTTACTTTTCAGGGGCGGGTTAGGAGTCACATTTTTGGGTTGGGTTAAATCTATACTCCCCTCCAATCCAGCAGTGGAGTGTCAGTAACGCCTAGCCGCACGCCGAATATTTATGTCCGCGACTGCGCATGCGCAATTGAACATGCGCCATCTTGGAGTAGACCAAATCAAGTGCGCAGATGCGTGACTAAGCGGGCGCCATTCTTCACATAACAATTCGAGGTGCTGAATGTATGTGCCAAGTATCTGAGATATAATTGATATATAGAAACAATGAAAAATCCAAACTAATAGTCAAAAAATCCTTATTGATAGGCGTTACTAACACTCCCCTCAGACGACGTGCTTCGGGTGCACGAAACGCGCAGGGAGGAGCCAGTAACGCCGTGACGTCACGCCACCGGAGCAACGTGGAGCTCCGGCGGCCATCTTTAAACTTGGATGGTTAGTCCACACTGCTCTTCATGCCCTGCAATATATTTTTGGATTTTTGTAATAAATGATTATAAAGTTTCTACACTATGGGCATCCTCCTGCTTTGACTCTCCTGAGGAGTTTTTGGTTTCACAGCTATCCTAACCTCCAGAGAGGGAGCCTCCATGAGACCCAGAGGACTGCACCCACCTATCCCATAAAAGGGAATTGGGGGGGGGGGTATTGGGGTGATGGGGGGTCAGTGTTGGGGTGATTAGGGGGTAAGTGTTGGGTTATATGGTATGGAGGGGATCAATGTTGGGGTTATTGGGGGGTCAGTGTTGGGGTGACTGGGGGAGGGTCTGTGTTGGGTTATGGGGTGATTGGGAGGGGGGTTGGTGTTGGGGTGATCTGAGGATCAGTGTTGGGGTGAATGGGGGGGGGGTCGGTTTTGGGGAGATGAGGGGGGTCAGTGTTGGGGTGATTAGGGGGTAAGTGTTGGGTTATATGGTATGGAGGGGATCAATGTTGGGGTTATTGGGGGGTTAGTGTTGGGGTGACTGGGGGAGGGTCAGTGTTGGGTTATGGGTGATTGGGAGGGGGGGGGGTCGGTGTTGGGGTGATTGGGGGGGCGGTGATGGGGGTTGGTGTTGGGATGATCTGACGATCAGTGGTGGGGTGATTGGGGGATCAGTGTTGGGGTAATTGGGGGAGAAATCAGTGTTGGGGGTGATGGGGGGAATCAGTGTTGGGGTGATGAGGGAGAATCAGTGTTGAGGTGATGGGGGGGCGGAATCAGTGTTGGGGTGATTGGGGGGGCGGTGTTGAGGTGATGGGGGGTTGGTGTTGGGATGATCTGACGATCAGTGTTGGAGTGATGGGGGAATCAGTGTTGGGGTAATTGGGGGGGAAATCAGTGTTGGGGTGATCGGGGGGGTCAGTGTTGGGGTGATTGGGGGGAATCAGTGTTGGGGCGATCGGGGGGGAATCAGTGTTGGGGTGATGGGGGGGGGATCAGTATTGGGGTGATCAGGGGGGGGGTCGGTGTTGGGGGGTGATGGGGGGGAATCAGTGTTGGGGTGATGGGGGGGAATCAGTGTTAGGGTGATCGGGGGGGTCGGTGTTTGGGGTGATGGGGGGGAATCAGTGTTGGGGTGATGGGGGGGAATCAGTGTTGGGGTGATGGGGGGAATCAGTGTTGGGGTGATCGGGGGGGGGGGGTCAGTGTTGGGGTGATGGGGGGGGGGGAATCAGTGTTCGGGTAATTGGGGGGGGGGGAATCAGTGTTGGGGTGATCGGGGGGGGGGTCGGTGTTGGGGGGGAAATCAGTGTTGGGGTGATCGGGGGGGGGGGTCGGTGTTGGGCGGAAATCAGTGTTGGGGTGATGGGGGGGGGGGAATCAGTGTTGGGGTGATGGGGGGGGGGGGGAATCAGTGTTGGGGTGATGGGGGGGAATCAGTGTTGGGGTGAATGGGGGGGGTGGGAATCAGTGTTGGGGTGATGGGGGGTAATCAGTGTTGGGGTGATGAGGGGTAATCAGTGTTGGGGTGATGGGGGGGGATATCAGTGTTGCGGTGATGGGGGAATCAATGTTGGGGTGATCGGGGGGGGGGGGTTCGGGGGGGGGTCGGTGTTGGGGGGGGAATCAGTGTTGGGGTGATGGGGGGGGGAATCAGTGTTGCGGTGATGGGGGAATCAATGTTGGGGTGATCGGGGGGGGGGGGGGTCGGTTGTTGGGGGAAATCAGTGTTGGGGTGATGGGGGGGGAATCAGTGTTGCGGTGATGGTGGGGGAATCGGTGATGGGGGGGGTGTTGGGGTGATGGGGGGGGAATCAGTGTTGGGGTGATGGGGGAATCAATGTTGGGGTGATCGGGGGGGGGGGTCGGTATTGGGGAGGGTCAGGCGGTCCCAGGGACAGAGCCCATGCATAGACGATGTTGGCCCCCAGGGGCTCCTCACCTCCACCAGCGGGTAGGCGATCTCGTTGTAGATCTGCTCGGTGCAGTGCTCCATGTTGTACGCCCCGTCGAAGGTGAACTGTTTGGGGGTCTCCTCCCCCCCCTCTGGTCTGCGGATGAAGCACTGACCCGGCTGCTGTCCATGGTGACCACGGCCCGGCACTTCATGTCCTTCTCGCGGTCGTTCATGGGCCGACATCGCACCACCACCTTCACGCTCTCGGCAGCCATGTTTGCGGGGGATGGTGGCTCTCCGCTCTCGGGTTATATGGCTCCTTCAATCATGCTCCCAGTGTGGGGCCCCTGGAAGAGACAAACAATGAGGAGTTGTCATGGGGGATCATGTGACAATAGGGAGAAGAGATCTGATTGGATGGAGATCTTTGCCTGATTGGTCGCCCTGTGTATGGGGGAAGGGGTCATCCCTCTACTCCGGTGACTTCTGACTCTCAGGCTGATCATTGGTGAAGGTTCCGGGGGTCCCCTCTGCCCAGAACCAATGGGAGATCTGCTCTGAGCCCCCAAAAGACTCTGGACCTGTCTCCTGTCCAGTGATTGGCTGCACAACCGTCCCTATCGGATCTCCCGGTCTGCCCGCTGTCTGGTCTCTATGGGAACGGCCCCTCCCCCCCCGTCGGTACTACCGTGACTCCGCTCCGCACTGCGATCCTTCCTCGGCTCCGCCCCCTCCGCCCCCCGCACAGCGTGCCCCTCACCTAGCAACCGGCGCGTGACGTCAGGACATCTCCGGAGGCTCCTCCCGCTCCGGCCCGGCGCTATTAATAAAGATCAGTGAAAGGGAAAAAAAAGCGACTTCCGCCCCGCCCCTTCATCAGCCTGCAGGAGGCGGAGCTCGGAGGCCGTGCGGGAGATTCTAACCGAGCTGATAGAATGGGCGGGACTACAAGTCCCAGCAAGTCCACAGACTACAGGTGAGTGCACTGTGTATGGGGGGAGGGGACTGTCAATGGGGAGGGGTGCATGGGGGAGTGGACTATGGAGGGGGAGGGGTGGGAACTCTGGAAGGGGAGGGGGTGTATGGGGGGGGGAGGGGACTCTGGAGGGGGAGGGGTGGTGTATGGGGGAGGGGACTCTGGAGGGGGAGGGGACTGTGAAGGGGAAGGACACAGGGGGAGGGAGGGGACTGTGGAGTGGGGGTGTATGGGGGAGGGGACTGTGGAGGGGTGTATGGG